CCCCAAAACCCCAAAACCCCAAAACCCCAAAACCCCAAAACCCCAAAACCCCAAGAGAAGGAATAAGTTTGAGATTTAAATCATTTTATTCTAAAATGAACGAAATATTGATCTACAATAGTTCTTTATCAAAGCCCACTCGTGGGAAATCTACCAAGAAAAATAAAGGAAGAGTAGGATCTGTCTACAGAGCTAGAAAACAAACTAATGATGTTTACCAGAAAGCTGTTGAGGAGTATGAGCAATATAAATAAGCAAAATCCTCACGGAAGTGCTCTCGACTCTTCAGAGAATGATATTTACTGTAAGAACAGCAAAGATGACAGCAGGATTAAGGCAATTAATGGCAATAATTTAAGCAACGCTGGGAAGTCTGTTGTTGGCTATAAGAAATTAGTCAATAATTTCAAAAGTCCTTATATGAATCAAGCAACAATTGATAACCTGACGAAAGCTTACTATCCTGGTAAAATCAGGAGAAGGCAGCTTGCTAGACGAAAGAAAAAGAGCTGAACGCCAAATCTGAAGTATAGAAGGGGACATAATTCTTCTGAAATACCAAAGGTGTTTCAGTATCCTGAAACTCAAGAGCAAATTGAAATTAATCAGTTGAGGACGAAAAGAGAACTTGAAGAGCAACAGATTATTGAACGACAGAAGCAGAATATAGAGAAGCTCAAGAAGTTACAAAACCAAGTTTCCCAGCCTCAGATTATTGTTGAGGATCAAGAGAGTGAACAAGCTGTGGCAGTTACTAAGGTCAAGCCTGTTAAGAAAGATTTAATTGATGACTTAAATATGAAAATGCAGCTTGAGATTCAAGAGAAAGCAAAAGCTTACCAGAATGATCCATCTCTGCAAGATAAGGTATATAATGGACAAGCTATTAGATCTGAGAATTTTAAAGTTCTAGAAGCAACTAGTCATGAAACCATCAAGCAAACCCCTTTGGATAAAAACATAGGTCTTCAAAAGGCGATTCTGGAGAAATCTGATTCTGCTGTATTGGACAATATTGTTGAAAAGCCCGTTCAAACAAACGGGACCAAGAAGAGGGGTGTCTCAAAGTCAAAATCTAAGAAAGCGGTTCCTAAAACTATCAAACGAGTGTTTCCAAACTGCCAAGACTTGAAGAGTTGGAAGAAAAGAAATCGGTTAACTCACAAGACAAAGATATTTAAAATTGTAGGAGGATATACCACTATTAAGGACACCCTTCATGAGAAAGGATGGGTTGAGAACAAGGATAAGAATAGTGTCTGCTTTGATCTTCTTTGGACTACAAAACAGCGAGACATCAAGTTTGAAGATCTCAAAGATGGTCAAGTTGTCAATCATTTTAAGAACAATGCAGCGATAACTACAAAGATTGGCCTATGTCGAAATATTGGCAAGGTTCTGAACTTTAGTAGCGTCGATGTAGATACTTTCTTCCCGAAATGCTTCTGATTGAAGGATGATGATGACTGGAAGGAGTTCTCTACGTATTATAAAGTTTGTAAGGCAGAAGGTATTCTTAAGAAATTCCTGAAAAATGAACAAGTTGACCCAGACATGCTTGATGTCGCCATGACTGTTTGTCGGAGAAACTTACTTGAGCTGGATGATATTATTGACAAACCCTTCAAAGATCTTGTATCTGATGAGGAGTGGAAAGTACTCAGGAAAGGCGAAAAACGAATAAAGAACTTCAAAAGAGATAAGAAGATCTCAAGTTTGCTCCCTGCTAAAAGGAGCAAGCTTCATCAATCACCAAAAGGGGTTTCCAATATCTTAAATTCGAAGAAAGATGCCAGCTATAAATCCCCCAGTATTGTGACCTTAAAGCTTCCAGAGCTTGAAAACAAGAAGTTTGCGAGTACTACCAAGGGAGAGAAGGGTTTTTTCATTGACTCATATACCAAGAATGATGTCATAAGATCCATGATTGAGACTCAGGGACCTTCTACCTCATTCATACAAAAAGAGACTTCTGAGAAACAAGATATGCTACCAAAGAGACTGGCTCAGCCTAAAGGTTCCTCTCATATGACTCTGAGGAGTGATATTGAGTCTATCTGTGATAGACTCAAACAAAAATTCCCTCAGTATCATATTAACGGGGACAAGAACATTTGGATTATAAAGCCAGCAGGTTTATCACGCGGAAGAGGCATCCAAGTCTTTAGTAATTTCGATGAAATAACTGATTACACATGAGATAAAGAGAAAGGGTGGATTGCTCAGAAATATATTGAAAATCCAATGATTGTAAACCAAAGGAAGTTTGACCTCAGGATATGGGTCTTTGTGTCTGACTTAAACCCATTGACAATCTGGTTTTGGAACAAACCTTATATTCGGTTTCCAGCAGCAGATTACAATGCTAATAACCTTAAGGATAGATTTGTTCATTTGACTAATAATTCAGTTGGGAAGTATGCCAAGAACTTTGAAGTTATTGGAGACGGAAATATGTGGCATATTGAGCAACTTATAACTCATTTGCAGGAAAAGCATGGAAGAGATATCTGGAATGAAGAAATTAAACCTAAAATTAAGGATATAATTATTCATTCACTTCAGTCCGTCCAGGATCTTCTTGATACGAGAAAAGGGTCGACTGAAATGCTTGGATATGATATTATGATTGATGAAAACTTTACTCCATGGCTTATAGAGGTAAACTCAAGCCCAACAATGGAATCTAGTACCAAAGTCACAGCCCACCTAGTCACAAACGTAATGCAGTCAGTCGTAAAGATTATTTCTGATTACATATTAGCCCCAAAAGGCTCATCGAGAACTGAAATTGACACAGGAGATTTTGAACTGATTTATAAAGGCAAGAAGTTTGTGGATAAAGGACTCAACTTGTTCGGAGTTAACTTGTGCTGTGAAGGCACAAGGGTCTATTCTTAAGTGGATTTCTACTGATTTGTTGGGTTTGAGGGTATGGGATCTGTGGAGAGTATGGTTGTTAAGTTGTTAGGCCTAATAATGTGGAGGTTTAAGGCTGTTTAAGTATAATTGTTCTAGATTTTGCAATAGAATGGAGTTAACAGCGGATTTAGCACATATACGTTGAGGCATTAATTTAGTTCAATACTGTTTAGCATTAAAGGGGTTTTGGGGTTTTGGGGTTTTGGGG